TAAGGATCAAGTAAAAGTTGCCGTTGGTGGTTGGTAGTGGTCAGAGGACAATGGTTCAGTGATGAAAGCTGGAAATTCAGGGCTCAGAGCTCTGGCTTCGTCTTTGCATTTTTTAAAAATTGAAGTATAGTCCGTTGTAATGTGTCAGTTTCTGGTGTACAGCATAATGTCCCAGTCATGCATATATATACACACACATATATTCATTTTCATATTCTTTTTCATTATAGGTTACTATAAGATATTGAATATAGTTCCCTGTGCTATGCAGAAGAAAGCTGTTTTTTTTTAATCTATTTTATACATAGTAGTTAATATTTGCAAATCTCGAGCTCCCAATTTATCCCTTCCCACCCTCCTTTCCCTCTCTCAGGTAATCATAAGTTTGTTTACTATGTCTGTGAGTCTGTTTCTGTTTGTATATAAGTTCATTAGTGTCTTTTTTTTGTTTCAGATTCCACACATGAGTGATATCATATGGCATTTTTCTTTCTCTTTCTGTCTTACTTCACTTACAATGATGATCTTCAGATCCATCCATGTTGCTGCAAATGGCATTATTTTATTCTTTTTTATGACTGAGTAGTATTCTGCATAAATACACCACTGCTTCTTTATCCAGTCATCTGTTGATGGACATTTAGATTGTTTCCATGTCTTGGCTACTGTATATAGTGCTGCTGTAAACATTGGGGTTCAGGTATCTTTTCAAATTAGAGTTCCTCCCAGATACATGCCCAGGAGTGGAATTGCTGGATCATAGAGTAAGTCTATTTTTAGTTTTTTGAGGAATTTCCATACTGTTTTCCATAATTGCTGCACTAAACTGCATTCCCACAACAGTGTAGGAGGGTTCCCTTTTCTCCACACCCTTTCCAGCATTTATTGTTGGTGGACTTTTGAATGATGGCCATTCTGACCGGTGTGAGGTAATACCTCATTGTAGTTTTGATTTGCATTTCTCTGATAATTAGTGATATTGAGCATTTTTTCATGTGCCTATTGGCCATCTGTATGTTTTCATTGGAGAATTGCTTGTTTAGGTCTTCTGCCCATTTTTGGATTGGGTTGTTTGTTTTTTTGTTATTAAGTTGTGTATGCTGTTCATATATTCTGGAAACTAAGCCTTTGTCAGTTGTATCATTTGCAGATATTTTCTCCCATTCTGTAGGTTGTCATTATGTCTTTGCATTCTTAGGGGATCAGTATCATACTGTCACAATTATTCCATCAAGTACAACACTCTTAAGTTTGTGGAGAGGAAAGGTAACTAAAAGTGATTTTATAATGTTTTAAAAATAAAGAAAAGTTCTTTTTAGCCTATGACCAATTTCTGTCGGCAGGAGGAAGGTCAGCAAAACTGTCAGATGGTCTTGGTGATCCCTGATGGTTTTCTCCATAATCCAGTGACCCTTTTACTTTTTCCCTATCCACCTTCCTTGTCAGCTTCTCTTTAACTGGACTCCCTGGTCCATCTTTTCTATTTTCAGCTTTATTAAGATATTATTGACATATAACATTTGTAAATTTAAGATGTACAAAGTGATAATTTTATATATATATATATATATATATATATATATATACACACACACATATATATATAAATGATTACCACAATAAGGTTAGTTAACACTTCCATCCTCTCACATAATTACAACTGGGGAGTATGGTGATAACATTTAAGATCCACTGTCTTAATAACTTTCAAGTATATAATTCAGTGGTGTTATAGTCACCATTCTATACATCAGATCCCCAGAACTTATTTATCCTATTGCTGGGAGTTTGTACCTTTTGCTTGCTCCATCTTTATAATCACTGTCTTCACACACAATCAACCACCCCCCCACCCCTCCCCAACTGAGATCTCCTAGCACCACTTGGCGCTGGTTAAATGTCTCTGCCTACTCCACCCCTCTACCCATTCCTGCACCCAAGCAGCTGAATGTGGCTGAAGAAAAACCCACGATCATCTTAACACACCTTACTTTAAATTTACAATGTCATATCCCAAGGGGACTCATAGGGTTACCTGGCAGTCCTACCGGATTTCCTTCAAGATGACTATTTCATACTTTTCCCTGTCACCTCAAACCACCACCATTTCTCTTTTCCTTTCCAGTTTTTCATTTGACTGAGAAGAGAAGTGTGGTGATAACAGTCAGCTATTCCCGCCACCAAATCTACCCACCTGCCTGCACCTGTGTCCACCGCAGTGGAGGTTGTCTGTGAGCCAGCCGGGCACTGGATCCCCTGCCCTCTCAGGGACAGCAAAGAAGGCAACCTCATATGGTGGCTCCATGTGCCAGGCTTAGTTCTAAGCACCTGATTATTAACTAATATAAACCTCACAACAGCCCTGTGAGGTCGGGATCATTCCAGTTTTACAGATGAGAGAACTGAGGCACAGCAAAGTTCAGTAACGTGTCCAAAATCACACAGCCTTAAGTTTATGTGGCTCCAGGGTCCGTGTGCATAACCTTGCTATGATACCTCATCTCCTAGGACATTCCTCTCTCTCCCTCATCATCAATTTCCCCTTTCTATCAGACCTTACTCATCAATTACAAGCAAATTGTAGTATCTCCTATTTCAAAAACCTACCCTTGACCCTGTATCTCCCTCCAACTACCCTCTACTGCCCCGTTCTCTTTTTCAAATTTCTTCTTAGAGTTTTCTAAATTTGCTGTGTCTACTTCCTTTTTTCTGATTTCCTTTTGAAGCACTCCCAGGGCTTTTGTCCCTACCATTCCCAGGAAACAACTTCTGGCAAGGTCACTATTGACTTCCAAAATATCAAAGCCAGGTGGACAGTCTCAGTTTCTTATCTCCTCAGAACTGATTTATTCACTTGTCTTGGTTTTTCTCCCACCTCAGTGGTCACTTCTCTGTCTCCTTTGCTGAATCTCCCTCTGCTGGCCAACGTCTAAATGTTCCATTTTCCAGGGCTTGGGCTGGACCACTTCCTTTTCATCCACACTCACTTTCTTGGTGATCTCAGCCAGTCTCAAGGTTTTAAGTATTATTTGTAAGTTGATGACTCCTAGATTTTTCTCCAGCTTTGACCTTCCCTAGACTTACAACATTTCCACTTGGATGTCGTAGGCACAAGCCATCACACAGTGACTGTATGTCAAATAAAATTCTTATTTTTGCTCTTTATCCTTTCATTCCCATTTTTGGTAAAGTGGGGTCTTCCTCCCACATCCCACATTATAATTATCAGCAGGGCTCTACCTTGAGATTACATCCCAGACCTGATCACCTCTCTCCCTTTCCAGGACTACACGCTCATCCAAAGCACCATGATCCATCCCCTGGGTTCTGAAACGGCCTCCTGGTGGGCCCCCCTGCTTTGTCTCGTGCTCTGATATAGCCTGTTCTCCACCCTGCAGCCTGCGTCATTCCTTATAAATACACGTTAGATGTGGCCCCTGCCCACCCTTCCTTCTCATTTCCTGTATTCTCTCTGTGCCTCCCTGCCTCCCAGCCCCGAGCCCAGTCTCCTTTGCCGTTGTTTGAACACAATAAGCAGACATCTGCCTCAAGGCTTTGCCCTGGGTGTTCCCTCCATTCCCCTCTGCTGAGAATGCTTCTCTTCCTGTAGATACTGACCTCAACGAAACCAGAAAATTCATTATTTTGGTGTGATCTCTATTCAGACTTTATCGGAAAAGCTTTCCTTGATCGCTCGATCTAAAGTAGCACCTGGCATTTTCTATCTTCTTGCCAGTTTTAATCAGGGTGTAATGTATTGATTATCTATTTGTAGATCTGTCTGTTTTCTGTATGTCTCCTGACATACCAGTTCTATGAAAGCAGAAACATTATCGCTCTATTCCTAGTGCCTGGACTAGGTGGTTGATAAATGTTTGTTGAATTTTTGGAATAATGGAAGGTATTAAGTCCTGCCAAGTTAAAGGATATGTAAGAATGAAAAAGCTGACAGGTAATTTTTTTAAGTTAAAAAAAACCTGTAAATGATAGATGATGGAAGGGGTTCTATGTGGAGAAAACTGGCTGGGAGCCGAAAAGGAAAGTCTCAGAATTCTTGGGTGGTTTTAATCTTCCCTCTTCTCTTCTCTGCCGTTGGAAGAGTCACTGCTGTGTTGAGAGCCAAGGGGAGCGACCAGGGGGAAGGCCTTCGATGGCTTTTGTGGGCCCTCATCGGGGGCTTCAGGGGTGCCTTCCTGTGGAGGGTGAGGCCTCCAAGTATTCCTCGAAAATTGAAATTAGTGAAACAAAATCAAATTGGGGCTCTTAAGTTGCCTAAACCTACGCTGCTTGAAGCATCACAAAGGACACATTATGAATTTAATTCATATGATGATGGTAACGATAATGATTTTTCTCTTGTGTTGCTTTTCTGACTGTCCTTGATCAACAGCTCATGTCCCCATCCCCTTGACAACTGGATTGAGAATGTTGCTGTAATTGTGTCCAGTTTCTTGGGTCACTCCTGGGCTAGGAGAACAGATGGAGGAGCGGATTCATGTCCCTCTCACTTGACACTGCTGTGAGCTCTACTCACTGATGTGGAAGAAGAACAGAGAGGAAACTGTGCCAACAGCATGAGTTCTCTTGTTGAGCATTATGAAACATAAAGAGAGTGGAACACCCCTTTTACATTCTGCTAGTATTTCAGTGTGCTTTCTAACAGATAGGGGTCTTTAACAACCCCTAGAAAACAGGAAGAGGATGTTTCCTACCCTTGTAAATATAAATATAACTTTAACAAAGATCCATCTTCCCTGAAATTTGACTCCCAGTAAACATGGTGTGTGACACTTATCTGACATAACTGTGGTTTTTGAAAGTTTAAAATGTAGGTACATGGTGGGCACATCACCCCCTAAAGCTCTTAGTGCCTGATTTTGGCTATAAAATGTGTCTTGAAAGGCCAGTTGTGATGATTTTGTAGTGTCTGGGTCATTTCAGAAGATTCATTTGTATGCACTCACTGTATTTCCTCGTGTTCCCTTTGATTTCTTGCCTAGAGGGAGAAGAAGATGAGGATGAAGAGGATGAAGAGGAGGAAGATGAGGAGGAGGAAGACGAGGAGGAAGACGAAGAAGATAAAGATGCAGACGCCCTGGACGAGAGCTTGGGTGGTGACACCGAGCTACCTGGCTTTACCCTCCCTGGCATCACGTCTCAGGAACCTGGCTTAGAGCAGAGAAACGTGGTCCCTTTGGAAAGAGCCACCTACCAGGACGCCATCGAGTGGGAACAGCAAAATCAGGGCCTGGGTAAGAGCCATGCGTGTTTCTTTCCTCCCTCCCTCCTTTCCTTTTACTTTTCTGAGGTGACAGCTTTCTTTCATTGGTATTGAAGGGGGAACAGAATGGATTTTCTGTTTAGGGGTGTTTCATTTGGGAAAAAGTTCTTAAGTTTTTCTTCAATATGTTTATATTTATGTTTTTCAATAGCCAGGCTCCAAACAGTCTCCATCTGCCCACGAAGAACACAGTTACCTAATTTTTGGAAGGAATTCTGTCTCTCCTTCCTAACTGGAGGACAGCTGTCGGCTCTGGGAGGACTTCCAAATGGGGAGGGATTGTGTATAGCCAGTCAGCTGAACAAGCAGCATGAATGGTCTGGAGTCTTAAAACAAACGTACTTTGTTATCCTCTGTCCTTTTAGAATTTCCTCCATGGGGAACATTCTTCCCTCGCTTCTGGGTGAGCCTTCAGCAGTCCTGTGACTCTTCTGTTCATTCTCGTGATTGCATTTCATCGCCAAATACAGTCTCACTTCAGCAGCGAGTGTCCAGACAACCCCAAGTTAACTCTCTCCTGTGTGTGGCTGAGTCTTTGGTGAGAGTCTCCATGGATGTAGGCTGATCCCAACTCTGACTCTCTCTTTCCTGTCAGAGGGATGCTCCCGTCTGTCTCCTCTTGGTTTCTTCAGGAGAGATGCTATTAAGCACTGGGTGATTCTTTGATGCCTCACTCTCTTGACCTGAGGCGATGTGAACTCTTCTCCAGAGAAATCTTCCTGAAATTCTCTTAGTCTTTAAAAGGCCTGCTTATACCTTCAGTGTAGCAGAGGTAAGATTTAAGAGGCATGTAACCAGTATCTCAGCCCCAGACTTCTTTCCTGAATTCAAGACTCAAAATCTAAGTCCCTCCTGGAAACCCCACAGGCTTCTCATATTCAGCATGCCCAGAACCAGTTCATCATCTCCCCCGATACGCCAAGTTCACGTCTCTTCCTCTACTCCCTAGTTTCATCAGAGGCATCACTATCCACCTGTTTGCCCAATCAGAGCACCTAGAAATCATCCTCAACTCTATTTTCCCCGTCCTCTCATATCAGTCAGTACCTGTGACTAAAAGCTCTCAGCTTGCCTCCTTTTTCTCCATCCCACTTCCTCTGCCTTAGTTCATGCCTCCATTTCTCACGTGGCCTTTTTCTCTCCCCAGTCTCACGCTTTGCCACTGTTCCTCCACTGCGCTGTCACCAGAACGGTTTTCATAAAGTACAAGTTAAAACCTCTTGCAGTCAAAGCTCTCCATGACGCACCTTTGCTTACCTTTCCAGCCTCATCTGCTGCCATATCTCCTAGAGCTTCTTTTTACCCACTTGCAATGTTCTTTGCCAACCCGTCAGCATGTGCCATGCTCTTTCGTCCCTCCAATGCCTTTGTGTGATTCCAGCCTCCATACATGGCCAAAGTTTCTTAAATTAGTGACACCCTTAGTGATTTATTATGCTTTTAAAAGTGATTTCCCAGGGTGGGGGAGGGTATAGCTCAGTGGCAGAGCACATGCTTAGCAGGCACAGGTCCTGGGTTCAATTCTCAGCACCTCCACTGAAAAATAAGTAAATAAGTAAACTTAATTACCTACCACCCCACCAGAAAATAAAGTGATGGTGCAGACACAGACACAGGGTTTTTAAAAAAGTAATTTCCCCAAGCCCTGAAATTTTATTTAATATCAGATTTTTCTTTTTATAAAATTGACCATTTCGCTGGATGTCTCTTACCTTTTACTGCCACTTCTGTTCCTGATAAATTCAGTTTGCCGGCATGTTTTTCACGTTGTAGTTTTCCTGGGAACCAAAATCAGGAACAAACCTTTCAAGCCTTTCTTTTTTTCCACTGTGGGAAGACAGTGTTAGAATGCTGTCTGGGTCTAGGATCTTTTTGGCTCACCAACTTTTTCTTGGTGGGACAGGAGCATCTCCTAGTAACTCAAAGCCAATGACAACTTCCAGATCAATATTAATTGATACAGTTTCCTAAATACTCTCATACCATGTGAAATAGAGGAAAACCTCCCCTCTTAGTGATAGATTTTGTGGTACAAAGAATAATGGCTCCCCCATAATGTTCTAATCTTTGAAACCTGTGACTGTGTTATTTTGCATGGCCCGAGGACTTTGCTGATGTAATTAAGTTAAAGATCTGGTGATGGGGAGTGTATCTTGGGTTTTATGGGTGGGCCCAGTGTAATCACCCAGCAAAGAGTGTGGGAGGAGAAGAATCTGTGATGACAGGCAGAGGTCAGAGAGATGTGGCCATAAGCAGGGAGTTCTGGCAGCCTCCAGAACCTGGAAAAGGCAAGGAGATGGATAGATTCTCCCCTTGAGCCTACAGAAGGAACACAACCCCGCTGACCCCTTGATTTTAGCCCCTCAAGACCCATTTCAGACTTTTGACCTGCAGAACTCTAAGATCATAAATTTGTGATGCTTTGAGCTGCTGCATCTGTGGTGCTTTGTTACGGCAGAAATAGGAAAGGATACAGATTTCAAGAAGTGTTTCGTGAACAGCTTCATTTTAGAAAGTAGAGCTGAGTGAGTGGCAGCTGTAGTCTGAGTGTGAACACTGTAAACTTAACTATAGTTTTTTTCTTGGTGAATCATTAAAAATGTAAAGAATGAGACCTTTAAAAAGTGATCCAATTTAATGTAATTACACTTAACTGTCCATCTTATTCATTCCTATTTTTAAGTGGGTTATTTTATTTAGAGATTGTTACATCCTATTTTACAATATGAATGATATTCCAAAGCAAATGCTAAAACCCTTGGAAACCTTTAAAAATGAACAGATTGAAGTGGGTAGTTGGGATTGGCTAAAAATAATACAAACTCTTTGAATAGATTATCGTTTCATTTCTTGTGAAGTAACAAGAACAGAAAACTTAGATGATTTTCTAAGACAGAGCAAGTAGATTCATGGCTTAATTCTCTGCACTTCTGTTTTCTGTATTGTCACGTACACATGGCATCTAAAGCATTGGAGAGCGGGGGCTCAGTTCTTGATCTTACTGTCGGGATGTGGGACCATGGGCTGAACTGCATGTTGTCAGGAGAGAGGATCAGGAGTGAAAGCTCCATGCTGTGGTTCAGGTGCACTGATTGATGGGAAAAATGCTAGCAGCGGATAGGAAGCTCTTTATTCATGTTTGCAGAATCTATTTCTTCTCTGATCTAACAAGTTCATTTTCAGATTTATCAGTAAGAATCTGTACAGAGAGCTGATACTGTGGCCCACACTACTTCTTATCCTTTTGCTATAATAAATTACACGGTTATTCTTTTAAAAGTATAAAATCAATATAAATAACCTAAGTCAACATATCCATTTTGATGTTTAAACATCTCCAATGTAATTAATATCCAGTAATTCTTCCCTTTGTACATCCTATATCTGTTAGGATGCTTTAGCTACAGGTAGCAGAAACTTTAAACTGATTTACAGTAAAGAAATACATTTTCTCTCAAAGCAAGAAGTCCAGAGGTGGAGCTCCTGACTCAGCTGACTCAGTAGCTCAGCTGTCATCAGTGACTCAAGTTTTTCCATGTTGTTGCACTGTCTTTCTTAAGATGTTGACCTTGGCCCCAGGCTGGCCTCCTTACAGTTGCAGTGGCTGAAGCAGTTTCAGGTGTTACACACAGACAAGACATTGTTCAGACAAAGAAGATGACTGTCTTTTTACTGTGTTTCTTTCTCAGGAGAGAGGAAGCCTTTCCAAGAATCCCCCAGTAGAATTCTTCTCACTTCTGATTGGCTGGGTTAGGTCACATGCTGATTTCTGAACAATGATTGGTAAGGGGATGTGATCACATGACTGATGGACTAGATAGGGGTGCGTGTCAATCACCACATCTATCACTCATGACTTTTGGGTTTTTCTGTTTTCCTCTCTTGTGGCTGATTCCTATTCATATCTCTTCTACCTTCTAAGAACCCTCTAATTAATATCTTTGTCTTAAATATATTTTGAGTTCATGAGTTGGATGAGGGCCTGAGGGTGGCATTGTTCTAGGAAGAGACCACTTTTGGCCACTTTAGAGTTTGGTTGATGTTCTGGGTACATAAGGCTTCCAAAAGCCATCAGTTATTAAGTGCAGAATTATTATAGATGTCTTCACTTTTTTTCCCCCAAAAGCCTGCATCTAACATTGAAATGGGCTCCTGATTTAGGAAGTAGAATACTTTTCTCTAGAAGTCTTTAAAAAAATGTGATATTCAACTAACAGTATAGGAAAGTAGAAGAATGAAGAGCTCCAATGTTTCTAGTTTTTCACCAGACATTCAAAGAGCACCTGCTCCGTGTGTGCTGTGTGCTGTGGGAACTGAGAGGCTGACATATTAAGAGAGAAGTTACCATGGGGCAGAGAGTGGTCCCATAGATGCGAGGTCAGTGGCCGAGCAATTCCACAGTGAGAAACTGAATCATCCCTTGTAACCAGGGATTTCTTTGAGTGGGCAGCTAATTTATATCACCCTGTCTGTTTTAACACTGCCTCCTTTTCACTATTAAGAGCCTTCCTTTAGATTGAAATAATGCATCTCTAGAAGGCTTTAGAAAAATGCAGATTTGCTGTCTGGATAGGATAATCCATTAAGATGATATCATTTGTTTTTTATTATTTATCAGGTTCATTACCTAGTGATTTAGGATGATTGAAGATGAAAGAGAGAAAACACAAGACCCATGTGTTTTGAATTTGTAGAAACAGAATGAACTGCAGGCAAAGGGTGTGGTGGTTGAGTCCTAGAGAAACTGAGCGCTTGTCTGTGAGAAAGGCAGACCCTCGGCCCCTAAACCGGTCAGCCCTTCTCTTTCTTCTCCTCATCATCCTTCTTATTCTTTTAAAACACTTAACGTATAGCCAAGATTGAACACTTAAATATAACGCGACACAGGCTGTGTCAGCAATGATAAGATGCTCCGTAAAAGATAGTGGAAAGTGTGAGATTTCAAACAACCCTTCACTGTGACAAATGTTG